GAGACAAGAGTGCGGAGCGATCCTCACGGTCCTAATGCCCTTCAGTTCTAAGCGCGCTCGTCCCCCGAGAGTCCATTCATTCGCTCGCAGAGCCGGCCCGGCGCTCCAGCATCCGCGTGCCCCCGGGGCCACTGAGTAGCGGGAGAGAAGCGCGGCCGCTGAGAAGCGGCGCGGGCCTTCATTCAGCTCCCGGGGACCCGGCGAGACAGACGCCCGCGGCGGAATGGCGACGGGCCAGAGCCAGCCTCGGTTCCCACTGCCCGGAGACGGAGCGCCAGGCGGCTGCCCCCGCGCGGCCCCAGTCGGTCCCGCCTACCGCATTCACCCCCCGACCGAGCAGTACTGAGTCACCGGCTAGAGACGCGCGACTCCGGGTCCGTGCCCGCGCTGCAGAGCTGCAGTTCGGGGCTCCGCTCTGGCTCGGGGTTCAAGGTGTTTTCGGCGAGTCCTTGGGAAGGGGAGGCTGGGCGGGGAGGGGAATCCTGAGTTTGCACGGGAATCCTACGCAGTCCAGGATTCTGAGCCGCCGAAGGGCCCGCCTGGAGGAGGGACTGGAAGCTGGTGCACTTGACATCGGGTAACCAAAGGAAGGGACGCTGCCTCACAGCCGGTGAAAGAACAGAACAACCACCTCCCATCTTCCACTAGCCTGGGGCTCCCAGCGTTCAGGATGCTTTCCTCCACTCCGCCTCACTGTCCCCTGACAACCGTGAGGTATCATCTTCAGCATTTCATCAGAAAAAAAGGAGGCCAGAGATGCCGGATGATTCGCCTGAGGCCACATGGCTAATTGGTGGGTAGAGCCAAGTCTGGAAGCTCTCTCTCCCGACACTTTTCGACAAAGTGCAAAACACAGTTGTGAGAGACGAGGACACAAGAGATCATTGGGAGTCTGCCCCAGCCCTGCAGCCTTTGGGAATCGGAAGAGAGCTGCGAGCTGCCAGCAGCAGAAGGCAATGTGGTTAAATGAGGTCTAGGAGACCAGCACAGGGTCGAGCACAGAGCAGACACTTAACGAACAGATGTTAAATAAACAAACGAAGTAGGGATCACAGAGGAAGAAATACTTTATTGCAAGGTGGTCTTAGGGAAGGCTTCTCAGAGAAGGTGGCCTTTGAATCAATCCTTAACAGGCAGAGAAGGGGGAGGGGAGGGCAGGGTATCAGCTGCATAAATAGCCCAAGCAAAGGTCCAGAGGATGGGAGTACTAGGAGTGTTGAGGGAAGAGAGCCTCCTGGAATGGCTGAGGCCCAGGATGGTGGGAAGTGTTTGGTAGGAATTGAAGTTGGCCAGGCTGGGCAAGTGTGGACTCTGGAGGTCCTTGAATGCTACGGGGCAGAGTTGGTGATGAGTTTGCTTCCAGCTGGACCCTGTGGCTCATCTCAAGACCCGCCTAGGGTCAGGACCTCCAAATGATGCTGCCTCAGGAATCAGGCAGAGTGAGGTCAAAGTATCAAGCCCACCTCCCACTACCCCATCAGGACCCTGAGACACAGAGGTGAAATAAGGTGGTGTTTCCCAGTTTCTCTAGCACTCAGGACTGATTTCTCCAGAAGGGAAGAAAACCCTGCTGGCTGCAGTTGTGATGCCCTCACTCAGGATACTAACCACGAGGATACCTAGGTAAGTCCAAAAATGGCCCTCCCAAGAACGTGACCCTTGAATGTTGAGAATACACAAAAGAGGGCCGCACAAAGGCTCTGTAAAAATAGCAGAGTCTGAGGCATGAGAAGGAACCCTGGTGGTGGTGTGATTAAGTACTCGGCTGCTAACAGAAAGGTCGGCGGTTTGAACCCACCAGCCACTCTGTGCGAGAAAGATGTGTCAATCTGCTTGCCTAAAGATCACAGCCTTGGAAACCCCATGGGGCAGTTCTATTCTGTCCTACAGGGTCAATATGAGTTGGAATTGACAGCAACAAGTTTGGTTTTGGTTCAGAGGCAAGAGCTGGGTATGGTGGTCACAACAGAGGCATGGGTGTGAAGATGCTGCTGGCCTTGGCCAGGACTTGGCATTTGGACACCACCCCAGGAACAGCGCCTTGAGCACCCAGGTCTCTCTTGCTGGGGAGTTTAATTAGACTGCACTAGCAGCTGAGGTTATTTGCTGGTCTAGTGGTTGTACCATCTGTGGGAGTCCAGGAAAGGCCTTGCTCCTTAGGATTCAGGCCTTACAGGCATCACCAGTCAAGCAATAAAATGTAAGGGAACTGCCCACCTGGTGCCCCATTTCCACAAAAGCTCTCCAGAAGTCAGCCAAATGGGAAGACTTGGGGAATAGCCCTCTGTTGCCATAGGATGCTCCCCTCAACCCAGCCTGGTCTGTGCAGGTCTACTTGCCTTTGGTCTTGGAGAAGCAGGTGAGAGGATATAGGTGAATCCAAAGACATCATATCAACCCCTGGTGAGATGCTGGTATAAGGGATGAAGCTGGACCAAGCCAAAATGAAATCAGGCCGGTGGAGTTTCTGATGTCTCTAGGAAGGCTCCTATGAGGGGACGGAGGCAGGAACTGGATTTTGGCAGGGTTTCTGCAAGTCTCACCACTCACTCCCAGGGGCTCAGTGGTGAGGATGCTACAAATCTGCACCAAATTGTCACTCCCTGGTAGGTCTGTTACAAGAAGCAGGCTTCCCCACCCCTCACCACCAGAAAAACAGAGGTGTAGCCTCTGTAGATGTGTTAGACTTCACAACCAGCCCTTCCTTAGGTGGTAGGGGGGTGGGTAGGTAAGGCGGCAGGTAATTACCATTCTCATTTGATCCAGAAATTTGACACAGAGGTTGAATGATGTGTCTCAAGCCACAGGCTAGTTACTAGCAGAGGAGAACAAGGAGCTGCCACCTCAGCTGCAGCCCATGGTCTTTCTTCCAGATTCTAACCCCGGATGAGCACAAAGCTGAGCCTGGACCCTCCTTGAGATGGGCTTCCGTGTTCAGAGATGGCAGTGAGTAACGTCTCCTCCCTGGTCCTAGGAATGGATTCCATCTGGACCACAGAATCAAAGCAACACCTAAGAGACTTATTGTTGCCTGACATCAGTCCAACTTGGAAAACAAAGGTAATAACAATAGTTGTTTATTTGAATGCCAACCAAGAGCCAGCCACTGTGCCAGCATTCCACATACATTATCTCCAAAGCTCCCACAACCCTGTGAGTTAGGGACCTGCAGTGTCCCCACCTGCAGATTAGGACAGTAAGGCTCAGTGGCTTGCCCGGAGTCCCACAGTGGTTAAGTGAGCTGGGTTTCAGTCCTGTGCCATTGGCACTGCCTGTCTCTGGGCACCAGTACAGGGCTGCTGAGGCCACTGGGCAGCCTGCATGGTGGTCAGATGTCTGCACACAGGGACCTCACTTCTTCCTCTGGACCTCCGTATTCTTCTCTGTAAAAGGAGGGATGCGGAGAGATGACTTCTGGGGTCCCTTCCTCTGTGCTATCTTGGACTCCTAGTTCCTTGGGCATATTCTCCCTATGGCATGGCTCTCTGGCTGTCCAAGCCAGTACTCAGGTGGGCTAGGAAAAGTACATGCATCCCTCGTGCTCGTGGAAGCCCCAGGGAGCCCTCTGGTCCCTGTGCATTTTGGTGTGGGGGTTGGGAGGGCAACACAGGGGAGAAAGGGTACAGCTCAGTGTAAGACCTTGGCTCTGGAGTCAGACAACCTGAATCAATGTTCATCTTGCCACATACTAGGAGAGTGGCTTGCGCAAATTCTAAGCCTCAATTTTCTTAAATGTAAAATACTGGTGTTGACAGCCCCTAACTTGCAGCGATGTTGGGAAGGGTTGAATAAAATAAAAGCAAAATCCAGTGCCTTGTAACCACCTCAGTCCCTGGAGGACTACTACCACAGGCATTGCTGTGGGATGCTGGGGTGGAAGGGGGCTCATGCAGGGGATTATCGCCACTGCTCACCTCTCCCCAGCCAGGCCCCAAGGTCCAACAGGGATGGGCTGTCTCACCCCACGGAAGACTGCCAACTCCAGAGCCTCTGCCTAGGAGGGGGAGAGGCTGCAGGGCAGGGCCCAGCTTCTGCGGAGTATTCGTTCTTGACAGTATACCCATTACCCCTCGAGACTCTGGGCCAGCTCAGAAGCCTCTTACTCTGTCTACAGCTGCAGCAGGGATCCAAAAGGTGGGTGAAGGGACCTAACTGGACACCTCCTCTCCTCCCCCCCGTATTTTCTCTACGCAGGAAAGGAGGCAGGAATGGTGAACAGAACATGTTACCTCACAGCAGGCACAGTGTCAAGTGTTTTAATACATGATCTCAGCATAGTGACAACGACCCTATGAGGATAGCTCAATCCTCTCCATTTCACAGATGAAGACACTGATGCCTGCAGAGGTCACCCAGCCATTGAGTGGAGCATATGCCATCCACTGCCAGCTGACCATACTTAATGCATTAGTGTCTCTAAGGAAAATTTACTTATAAGCTAAGTTTCTGTAAAGTGAGTAGTATTATCAGTGGAGGGGACCTGGCTCTTTAAGAGGAACTCCCAGAGTCTCCTTATTACCAACTGATACCTCCTATTTACCTAATAACCTTGGATTTTTATCTATGTTTCTTGCCACTAGAATGTAAGCTCCAGGAAGGCAAGGGTTCTTGTATGTTTTGTTCACCACTTTTTCCTCAGTGTTTGGTACATAGTAGTGACACATAGTACATGGTCATTAAAGATTTGTGGGAGGAAGGAGACAGGAAACAAGGCCGGGTAGCTCTGTGAAATAAGCATCTTTCTCTTAAGTCAAGAACTTTGACAGATGGGTGCAGAACCTGAACCCAGAGGAAGGGGGCAA